CCTGTGTGCAGGGAAGCGAGCGGGGAGCCGCCGGCCTCTCCCGCGCCGGCTTCCTGGCCAGTGATTTATCGCCATGGAAACGGCCGCTGGGCCCGCGGCGCCGGCGGGCCGGGCCCGCGCATTGTTGGGCCGCGCGCAGATGCACAGCTCGCGAGTTCCTTCCTCTTTCCTGTTGCAGAAAGTCCGCCGTCCCCACCGTGGTCCAGGAACTGCAGTCACACCTGAAGAGCCCGGTCTTGGGAAAAACAACCTCATTTGATTCCCCAGGGGTCGCGGGGCCGCTGCGCCAGCCGCGGGGCCTGGAAAGGGCGCGAGAACAATGCGGCCTCCCGGCTCGCCTCGCCGCCGGCCTCCCCCTCCTCTCGCTCTGCTCCCGGAGGTTTAAAAATGGACTTCCAGGCAGCCCCGGGCCGGGCCGCCTCGCGCGGCAGGGACCCCAACTCCACGTCTGCGCGCAAAACCCTCGAGGCAGGACAGAGGTGACCCCAGGCCGCCCCCACGGTGCCGGCCGGGGCAGAAAGCTGCTCTGGGGGGTGGAGTTGGGGGCAAGAGACTTGCAATGGAGGGTGCATGAGGCCGTAGAGAGGGAGAGGGGTACCCCTAGATGGGAGGGGAGACGTAAGTGCCCCGCAGGGGAGAAGCAGGAGAAGGATGAGATGCAGGGGGTGGACACGTGGGGGGTCACAGCCATTGGGGTTTCAGGTGTTGACAGCTGAGGGCCTGGGGAGAGGGGTCTGCCCAGCACCCAGCCATTCCATTCCTGACAGGCCGGGTGAGGCTGGCGGTCCCTGGCCAGGTCTGGATGTGCGTCCACAACCCAAGGGGCGAGTGAGGACCCCAGAGAGAGAGGAGGAGCAGGGAGCCTCCCTGCTCAGGAAGCCGGGAGACCCCCACCTGGCCGACCCTTCCCTGGCAGCTTGGACAAGTGTGGTCAACTCAGGGGCCATCTCTGCAGGAGGCCAAGACCGGATATCCTGGCCGCCTTCCAGGGGGCAAGAGGGGATGAGGACACCTCCGATTTACTGTTTCACTGTCCAGGGGTCAGTCTAAGAATAATTTCCTGAAATGATCCGAGAGAGACACTCCGTTGGTGAGCTGTGTTAAGAACAGCAATCTAAAACCCTGTAGCCTCCTTGAACATTCAGGATCCTTCCGAAGCACAAAATGTCCCTGCTGTCATTCCTTCTAGAATGTCTCTATTGGGAGCGCACTTGCCACTCACTCGCCCTGGGAGAGGACTTCCCAGGTTCTGATCCGCAGCGTGAATATTATTCGGGCGCGTTTTTGTCAGTGGAATATTCGGGCGCTTTTTTGTCACTGACCCCAGGGGAGCCGGATCCCAGGGGAGCCTGATGGTGAGGAAGAGCAGATGGTGACAGAGGTGGTTCTGCCAGACACCTGCCGAGCAGCCCCCCTCTTTCTCCTCGGCCGAGGGAATAAGTCTATTTGAGAGGGGACCCCAGTTCTCCTGGACTGACAGAAATGGAGCACATTTTGGCAATATGCAGCTTCCTGCTGCCCACCCCGAAAGGGCTTGCTCCCCTTCAGACCTCAGAATTGCAGGGTGAGGCCACGAGGTCGTCTAATGCAGATAATCCCCATCAATCCCTGCAGCAGGGAGCACCCAACAGCTGAGTCCCTTGGGACCCTGAAACAGGTCCTTTTTAAAAATGGGATTTGATTGGGATATTTCTCGGTTCACGCGCATTTTTGCCCGTTTTCCCCAATGGTAAGGTTTTGTGAGTCCACATTTCAGTGTCACAGCAAGCTGTGACATCGGCAAGCTGTCAGTCTTGTGATCTCTGGTGAACTCGTTCTCATTTGCGCTGGTGTGGAAAGTTCTATCCTCGTTCATTCCCTGTGGGTTCTTCACGAATCTACCAACGTAGTCAAGACAGTTCCACAAGAAGCCTGCTGTGCCCTTGACTGTCACACCTCCTTCCTGCCCTTCTAGAAGCTGCCAGTCTGTCTTCAGCTTCTAAATTTCTGCTATGTCAAAAATGTTATGCAAACAGCTTCATGTGTGGGGGCATTGGCATCTTCTCTCAGTGAGCTTCCCTGAAAGGTCATTCATCAGCATCCACAGTTGACTCCTCCTCACTGCTGAGGAATATTCCATGACATAAGATGTATTGTTCTTCTGCCAGCCACTCTTGTAGTCTCTTGGCTGAGACCTCCCAGTCACAATGAACAGACTGACGAAAAACAAAATTAATTTTGAATCTTTGGGGGCCGTAGAGATAAAAGACCCGAGTACCAGCGGGAAGAGAGCAAACTTCTGTGCCGCGCAGGTCTAAGGGAGGGTAGACGGCCCAGGACACATGGACAGAGACGCTTCACAGGGAGCTGGGAGAGGCAAATGTGTGGTCAGCAAATGTGTGGTCAGCAAATGTTTGCCATGCCAGGTAGAGATAAGGGACATTGGGGAGGCCTTAACAAACAGAGCTTGCCAGGCACCCTCAGTTTTGGTGAGAGCCCCCTTCCCGCTCCAGGCCCTTTCCTAATTCCTTTTTAGGCTGTTGTGGGGGGAAGGTCTAAGTTGTTTTTTTTTTTTTTTTTTTTTATCTCCTGGGACTTGATTGCCTTCAGCTCCAGCCAGGACCTGTAGCTTTGTTTGAACTCCTTCAAAGGGCACCTGGGCCCTTTAAATGTTTTTTGCAAATGTCTCTGGGCAGCTGCCTGTTTGGAAACAGCTCCAGTCCAGCAGGGCCCCCCCGCTGGCGGAGGGACCCCCGTGGGCCGCGTGGGTACCCTCCATTCTCCGGGTGGTGGTTTGTGCCCTTCCTGGCTCTGCCCTCCGCGTGCCTCTCACGTCTGTGGGGTTCTGCCCCTTGCGCTCTTCCCTTGCCAGCACCCAGCTGCCTTCTTCAGTAGAGATCTCCCCTTGTCTTCATTTTGTTTAATCAAGTAGTGAAGCTGTGAAGAAACAGGAAACAATGAGACAGTTGTGTGGAACACATTGAAGGATTGCATCCTAGAATAACTTTGGGGAAGAAAGTCTGCGGATTTCAACTTTTTTAGACTTTGACCCTCTTCGTCTTTGTTCTAAGCCGAAGATTTTCCTGTTATGGGACATGTCAAAAAGTCCTGAAGTGTTTTTCTTCCAGAGGTGCTAGGCAAGGGTCAGAGTTCAGCCCAGCATTCCTGGGCTTCGCTGTGGAGTCTTGGCAAGTGAGCTAACATCTCTGGGAGTCTTTTTCTCTCCTGTGCATTGAAGATAATACTGGCAGCTGAGTCATAGATTAAATGAGATAATCCACAGTAACTGGCGAGTGTCCGTAATTTCAGCAGAAACGCTGCCCCAAGGCCCCCACCCCCACCCCCAACCACACACCTCAGGCCGTTCCTCCAAAAATCTCAACCTTTTGCTGACAAATGATTTGAGGCAGCTGACCACAGTACCTAATCAGCAGCTATCAGGTTGTTTTTGAGTACATTCAGCATTTGTTCAACAGTCAAATTAAAAAAAAAACAGTCAACTTGATCCAGATCTAGTTCTGGATCAAAACTTGATAAACTGGAAACTTCCTGTACTTTCCACCAAAGTCACTTTTTATATGTAAAATTCACTGTGCTGATCTCTAGATAAACCACCTTCACCACCACCAACACCTCATTGATCACCACCTCCACCATCCCCTCCACCTTCACCTCCCACCACCATCCACCATCAACTTCACCATCACCGTTACCTTCGCCATCACCACTACCATCTCCTCCGTTACCATCACTACCTTCTCTGTCAACTTCTCCATCACCTCCACCTCCATCTCCATCATCTCCTCCAGCACCACCCTCACCACCACCATGAGGAAAGCTGAACAACAGCTCTCCAGAAAGCAGCCTCTCATTCTTTACCTCCCAGATGGAGCGTCTCTCCACAAGCCTCACACCGTGTTGGATAACCCTGCTATTAGGTCAGCTTCCCCTCAAAACTCCTCAGTGGCAGGGCCAGGCCTTGACCATTCCCTGGTGCTTAAAAGTGCTGGCTGGGACTGAGAGATGCCCCCCTCTGACCGGGGGCAGTTTTGTTCCTAGAGGGGCCTCCTAGACGATGCTGACCAGCTACACACAATCAGGCCCGGCCTGGTGCCTCCAGAGCAAAGCATTCCTGACATTCCCTCATACCTCAGCCCCGGGTAGTGCCCTGCTATACCTCAAGTTCCCTGGATATCCTGACATGAAAAAGAGAAAAACTGGAAGATGGATGTTTCAATGCATGAATGTTCTGGCATTTTTACCCACGGCTCCATTTAGCATAAGCACTCCTGAAATAGGCCGCTTCCCCGAAGTGGTCCCGAGTGAGGGTTGTCAGAGAAAATACAGGATGCCCTGTTACATTTGAATTTCCTATAAACAACAATTTCTTTGTGCCAGGCAAGACGCAGGACATAATTATAGCATAAAATGACTTGTTGCTTTTGTGAAATTTAAATGTGGCTGGGCACTAACTCTGATAACCCTGCCCTGAATTCATCCAGGGTGGGTCAGAGCTAATTGCCAAGGAGGCCTGGCCCATTTCCCGCCTGCCACCTTTCACTCAAGAGGACACAGGCCACCTCCTGTCCACTCCCCTCCACCCCCTAACGCATATACACATGAACTTCCTCCACCCTGTGAGTCATGTGTGTGTCCACTCAGGGCTGTGTCTTAGTCCTCTACCCAGGAGGGTGCCATATGAGATCGGTCACTGCAGGCCTCACAGGCAGGCAGACATGACTCTGAGGTCTGGCAGATGCTTCCCCTTCTGGCTCTGTTTCCCCACCTGTAGGAGGGAGCATGGTGTCTACCCCACCATCCACCAACCCATGGAGGCCTCGGGGGTGCTGCCAGAGATATCAGGTCTTCAATTCTGGAACTTGAGAATTTTACTTACATGGAAAAAGAGTCTTTGCAGATGTGGTTCCAGTAAGAGTTTGTCCTGGATTATCTGGGTGGGCTCCCACTGCAGTCACACGTGTCCTCAAGAAGGAGACGACAAAGAGGGTCCTCCCTGGTGGTATAATGGGTTAAAGCACAGCACTGCAAGCTGGCCGCAGCCACTGCAGCACGAGTTCAATCCCCGGCCAGGGAGCTGACCCACATGGCGCAGCAGAGCTCTCCTGACCCACCCGCTGCTTCCCTCAGCAGTAGATTTCACTAGACCCTCCTGTTTCTGCCCCCCACTCTGTCTCTGGTGACTCCTCTCACTGACCCTGCACCTCTGGCCTGTACCACAGCTCTGTATGCAGAAATAAATAAGTAAATCTCTAAAAAATAATAATTACTGCTGGGGCTGGTTTGAGATTCTTCTCCTCCCCCTGTCCCCGCTATTCAGCTATCTGAGGCTGGCTGGCCTTCAGTCTCCACAACAAGCCTATGAGATAGGTAGGGTGGGTATTAATTCTAACTGTATAGATGAGGAAAGTGAACCTCAAAACAATGAAGCTATTAAAATGCAGAGAAGGGGCTGGAATCCCAGGTTCTGATGTGTGCGTTAGTGCCTGTACATTTCCCTTTGGGGTACATGTTAAATGCTTCGTTGCTGTCAAAAGCTCACTGAGGTTAATGGATCAGACCCGTGGCCTCTGACTCGGAAATGGCCAGTCACCAGCCTTCTGAAACAGAAGGGAGTTCAGCTGGGCCGGGTGCCCGCACTGTCTGACAGGACAGCTGTCTGCCCCTCCTCACCCCAGCCTGGCCTGCTCACTCTCAGCTTCTCAGAGAAACCACGTTCTGAGATTCATTCGCAGCCGAGTTGCTGTGACTGGGTTTGTGTTACTTTCCAGGCATTTGTTTTTGTTTTTTTTTTTTCAAAAAAAAAAAAGATTTATTTGTGCATACATAACTGGGGTATAGCCAGAGGTGTGGGGGTGAGAGGATTCACCAGAGACAGAGCAGGGAGCAGAACAGGCAGAGCTACTGAAATCCACTGCCGAGGGGAACGGCGGGGAGACAAGAGAGGTCTGCTGCGCCACATGGGTCAGCTCTCTGGCCGGGGATCGAACTCATGCTACGGTGGCTTCCCATAGCTTCATAGTGCTGTGCTTTAATTTGCTGCGCCACCAGGGAGGGCCCCCTTCCCTGGTATTTGAAGGCAGAAGCACATCATGCATTAGCTGCTCTGAACCCCTTCATCCGTGTCTGAGAAGTACATAGCATACCGGGCAAACTTGGCCTGCTTTGGGGTGCAACTGAGGTCTCCAGCAGGGAGCAGTCCCTTCCTTAATTAGTTCCAGAGAGCTAAAACAGTCATGGGGAACTTTTCCCCCTTAGACTGAGGAATCCACTAAGATCAAGGGAAAGTGAGAAGATATAAAATGCCAGTCAAATTATGCAGCCCCTTTTCTGTGGCTTCATTTTCCATGGTTTCATTTACTTGTGGTCAATGAGGAGTACAATTATGATGGACAGTAGGATATTTTGAAAGATAGAAATCTTCACATAACTTTTATTACTGTGTGTTGTTACAGCCATCATTGTTGTAAATCTCTTATTGTGCCTACTTTATAAACTAAACTTGATCGCAGGGATGCATGTGCAATAGGGAAAAACTGGATAGTGTTTGATATCATCCCTTCAAGCATCCACTCGGGGGTGGTGGACATAAATATTCATGTCCCTATTTAAATGAGGTTGAAAAACTAGAAAGAGCGTCCAGTGTGGGCAAATCAGCCAAGCACAGGGTCGACAAGCCTTGCATCTTGCACAGAGGTGACGCTGTCTCATCCTCTCATAGTACTGGAGGGGAGCCCCCAGCGGCTATTTAGAAGCTGTTAGCCTTGGATTTGGGAAAGTACGCATGGGTCTCCCCACGAACAACCCTCCAATCTGTCCACTCTTCTGTTTCCAAATAAACCCCATTTGTTGTTGCTGGAACAAATGTTTGAGGACAGCGGAGATCTTGGAATATATGCTCTGTGGATGGGGAAGCGGGGGACTATTGCATAGTATTTTTTTTTTAAGACAAAATAGGAAGCATCCCATTTATATGTGTTTAGTTTGAGTGAGACATTTGTGTTTTACAAATACAGAGGTACGATAGAGGAGAAGAGATTTCCATGAGAGATGAAAAGAGTGGTTCCCGTGGAAAAAGAATGACGGGGGACAGACAGACCAACCCATGGAGTGCCGTGGTGGGGTGAGCTCGCCCCTAAGAAGTCACAGACGCTGTGAAGGACCAACCTATGTAGACTTGGCTCATGACGCTCAGCGCAGGGACCCGTGTGGTGCTGTCTGGCTGGAGTGGGTGTCATTTTAAATGATTTCAACACCCCGAAGCATGGCTTTTATTTTAAAATTCAATTTCTTTAAATTCAAAAATTTAAAGGACTAAAAAGGACACAAAGACTTAGAATGAAAATTTACACTGAAAACTGCAAATTATTGCTGAGATAAAGTAAAAAAAATAAAAGACAAAGGACGAGAGGAATCCTGTTCTTGGGTCATACTTCACAATACTGGTAACAAATCTCTCCAAATGTATTTATAGATTCAATGCAATTCTGATCAAAATTTCAAAACGATTTTTCGGTAGAAATTGACAAGCAGGGGCTCTCCCTGGTGGTGTGACAGGTTGGAGTACAGCACTATGAAGTTAAGAAGCTCTCCACAGCCACTGCAGCATGAATTCGATCCCCAGCCAGGGAGGTGACCCACATGGTGCAGCAGACCTCTCCTGACCTGGCTGCTGCTCCCCTCAGCAGTGTGTTTCAGTAGATCTACCTATTCTGCTCCCCACTCTGTCTTTGGTGAACCCTCTCAACCCCCACCTCTGGCCTGCACCCCAGTTCTTATATGCATAAATAAATAAACCTCTAAACAAACAAACAAACCAACCAAAAAAGAAAATGATGAGCTGGTTTTTAAAATCCACATGGAATGCAAAAGAGTCTAGAATTCCCCCAAAATCCTCCAAAAAGGACAAACTTGGAAGACAAACTCTACCTGACTTCAAGATGTATTATAAAGCTCCAGAAATCCAACTAGTGAGGTAGTGATGAAGACAGACAAACAGATCAGTGGCACAAATGGAGACTTCAGAATCAACTCCACACATAAGAACTCTCTTTGGACAAAGGTACATAGAAGTTAATGAGCGAGATTTCACTGCGGTGAGAAAGGAACTGAGTGGTATCTCAGAAAGCTCCTGTGGCCCTGGGTAGAGTGTGTACGTTTAGGGGTGCATGCTGCATGGGAGCCGCCACAGGAGCTCTCCAAGGTGCCTCCATCCACCGTGAAACCCCCTCCGAGGCGGGGGGGAGCCTTCGGCTCGCTGAGTTCCAAGTTGAATGTGGGACTGGTGGCAGATCTTGAGAAACCTGCAATTCTCTGGAAATTCCACTCTGTCCCACGGAGGGCCAGCCTTAGGCTATGCGGAAAGAGGCTCCCTGGGGGACCACAGGAACGGTGAGAGGTCCCCCTGGCCAGGAGTATTTGGGAGGCACCCTCACCCTGCTCTGAGAAGGGCGCGCCAGGCCAGCCAGACAGGAGACTCAGAAACACAGAGGCAAATGGCACTAGTGCCTTTTTCCCCAAAAAAACTAAACAAAGTGACTGTGTTCAGTGGCCCCTCAGGAAGGCCAGTCATTTCCTGAGGAGATATCAGGCGGGCCCAGGCCTCATTGTTCCCGATTTCCAGCAATGGCCGCCATTACCTGACCAGCACTACGGTCAGTCTCTAACGGTCAGTCTCTCCGTGGTGCTGAGAAGTCACCGGAGCCGTCTCTCTGCTTTTTGCAGGGCCAGCCTCTCACCTGTGCTTCGCGGGAGTGTCTGAGGCCACAAGGCATGCCCCAGAGGCAGGGCTGACCGCACAGGCTTCTCTCTCAGGACGCTGCTGGGCAGGGCCGGCGGGGGCAAGATGTGGCTCGGACTCCTGCTGACTCTTCTGCTCTGTGAGTCTGTTTCTTTCCCACATCACTGAAACTTCATGAGAACTGAAGCGAATGCACTCAACAGATTTCTCCTGTCTTTTCCAGGTCCAAGCCTCGAGGGGCAGGAAAACTGTAAGTTGTTCAAGTTTTTCTCTGGCTTTGCCGTATCTTTCTGTGATCCTGGAAGGCGTGTCAGACGGCTGGGGTTGAATGTTTCCAACAACTGAGAAAAATCTTCCGATGGAGACCTCATGTATTTTTCCCGCTTGGCATTTTCAGAACGTTTTAGAGCAAAAACACTTGTTCTAGTCTAATCAGTGTTTTCTAGAAGGAATATGCATTTTCTAGATGGTAGGATCAGGGAGGTGATTTTTTTTCTTAAAAGAAGTGAGTGATGCTATCACTTGTTTGTGCTCTTCTACCACAAATTTCTTCTTTCCTTCTTCTGCCCTGCCCCTGATTATTTTTATTCACGAATGAGATACGACCTGTTTGTTAGACTCATGAAATACATGAGCGCTTCGGAGTTTATGATTGCTACGACTTTTTTCCTCCCAAATCATCTGAATCAGATACTGGATTTTACTTCCCATCCGCCCAGGAGGCTGCGGTTTTATGTGCCATGTGTCCGCTCGTCCTGGGGAGGCAGCGTAGGGCTTTGGCTCACCTTGGGAGTCTGGCTAATTGTGCTTTTTAGGCTTTGAGTCTGAGATTTTGTTTTGTTGTGCCTTATCTGAAACCGTGTGACTGAGGGGGGGTTCGCTGGGCCTGGGGGCTGAGGTGGGGAGAACCCACAGAACAGAACCCCCTGACAGAGCCACTTTACTTGGCAAAGAACAGGGGTGCTGGGTCACCCAGGTCTTTGGAGACAGGGATGCAGATGAGGCTGGTTTGTGGAGGGAAGTTGAGGGGAGCGAGGGGAGCGTGGCTGCAGTCTGCTCCATTGTTCTTGCACTTCAGTGAGCATTCGATCCCCATGGCAACCGTGGGACAGGATACCCAGTATCTCCCAATCGTCCTCACTGCCCAGGGGTGTCTGTGTGCCTCAGAAATGAGCAACGCAACGGAATCCCCGCTAACCCACACCTGACTGCGGGAGCCATAGGCCTGACTCACATCTTTAAAGTCATTTTTCCTTTGCTTCTTTGAGCCTTTATCCCAGTCTGTAGAATGGGGATGATGAGAAATCTGGTGGCGGAGAGTCAGAGTGGAGCGTCTGCCCCCCCCCCCCCGGGCCGCCCCTAAGGATGTTTACTTTCCAGTGACCTTATTGTCCTTGCAGTCGGGCCCCAGGCCACCCCCTTGCCATCCACTCCTGCCCGCACTGCGCCTTGTCCTCACCATGCCCTGACAGGGCCCTCGGCTTCCCGAGCCGGCTCTGCACAGCCCCTCCCGTCCCCTCTGCCGCAGATGGCCATAACTTGCTCCCTGCCCAGGGTTTCCAGAGGACGCTCTTAGTGACTTCTGGAAAGGCCCTGGAAGTGCAGGGTTTGGAGCAAGGGAGCTGCGCTCCTTGCTCAGGCCTCCACCTTGTTGCACACTTAGGAAAGCTGAGGCCCGGAGATAAGCACTTTCGTGTGGCTATTGGCAGACAGGGGACTGGAACCAGGTGGCCCATCCCTTAGGCCCTGCGAGACCACGCTGACCGGCCGTTGGAGGTGGCCTCTCCAGCTGCTTCCTTCCTTTCATCCCAGGCCCCTGCGCCCCGGCCTCCTGCCCCAGGAGGTGACCTCATTCCTTCTTCACCTAGACAACAGTGCTGTCTGGAGGGAACTCCCTCCACTTCCTGCCCTGCCCGACTCAGGCTTATCTGCCGCCCCACCCACCCT